TTCTTCTTAATGGTAATTCTTATTTTTCGTGATTTTACAATCCTAGCGTTACTATAATAATGCGCAGCGCTATGGCGATCTTTCTGCTAAACGCACACAACCACCGCCAAATCTTCCTCCAGGAGTTGCGCACAAGCTCTCTGAAAACTATTATTACACTCGTGATGTTCGGCGTGAGGTCGGTCCACCAGTGGAAGTATATAGACCTGGGCCTAAAATGCTCACCCAAGGTGAAAGGTATTGTTCTTTTTTGTGTTATTTTATTGGCCTTCATAATTTTATTAAACTTTTGATATTTAGTTTCTGAGCCCCTACGGTCAAGTTACTGTCGTACACCTTCCCTGTAGTAATTTGTAAGCACCAGTTAGCAATGGAGTAGTGAATGTTGTGAATGTTAATGACATCTGCTGCACCTCGTTAACTCATTCAAACGCTTGCCCTGGTGAGCCGCTGTTGGAAACCCGATGGCGTCGCTTACAAATTTTAGCTTTAGACTGTCTTTTTTTCTGTAAGTAGTTCCAAGTTCTTGGAGGGTGTAATTTCGTTTGTTCGGGCTTGTGACAGTCCAAGGTCGTGATCAATGGTCCTGCTTCCCTTGCATTCCACTCAACTGTCGTTCGTGGATGCCGTTGTGCTTGTGCGAATTGCTGTCTTTTTCCACCGTTTAAGGCTCAGGAAGCAGCTCACGCCCAGGTAGTCTTGGAATCTGCAACGTCACCTCCTGAGCTCACGATAAAACGTCCCCCATCTCTAACCTATCGAGGGTTAATTTGCGCATCCTCCTTTCTACATTTAAGCTTACATAACTTTTCCTTCTTTAGTTCTGCTTCCTCTGCACCTCCGCCCTATGACTTCACCCCCGGTATCAGACATAAATGGGATGCAAAACTCCAGCGTCCTTGAATTACTACCCCGACATAGAAAGTTGAGTAGTTTATAAATAAACGTGCGTAGACGCTAGTATCGCGTCCTTCACATTTTTGCTTTCATAAGCGAATACATCTGTAGACGACGACAGACGATCGCAAGTGTTTGCAGGAAACAAATTGACTTTAATTCATCCTGAACGACTGTGCTACCCCCCTAAGGGCATCTTCACTCAACGCCACGGTATGTTCACGAAATTGTTTGACAAGTCAAAGTTCACACAACGCAGGTAACTTGTTACCGTAATCAAAAGCTAAAAAGCACAAAAAACAGTGTCGCGTATATGTACATTGGAACAGCTAGGCGAAAAGGTCCTCCTCCTCGTCACCATCATCCGCTTCGTTATCCAATTCAGGTTGGTTTCTCTTGTGCTCTGAATCAGAGGGAGGAGCGAAGAGTTTGGCAATATCGGCAGCCTCCTTGTTAAGAGACTCCACTTTATCAACAAGAGTCATGCGAGCGGCCTGGACAATCTCCGTGGCTGCGCGGTTCGATAAAAATGGCGCCAAGGCCGTGACTAACGCTCGAGGTTCCGCGGCAGCGATATCGGCGACAGTTTTAAAACCGGCAGCAAATAGTTGACGAGCCCGTGCCTAAGAGAAACCACAATACCCCTCACGTACCAATTTATTTCAATCGAGAAACCTTGCTCTGAAAAGGATAAAGGGGGGTTGTCACTAACTCTTTTGACGCCAGGCAGCTCCATTAGCGGAATCAGCTCCGATGATACGCAGTAGGCAAGTCGAGATGAGAAATCCGGGAGTAAGTGCGCGAAGGCCCACAACTCGGGGTCGCTTCGGTATTCTGCAGCTACGGCATGCGCCAGACCCACAGCCAAGCTGGCAGCCGATTGCACGAGAGCCTGTAGAGATCCTCGGGAGACCTGATAGCGGCGGGCCACTCGCCACACCGGCTCACATCGGGGCGGCCACAACTCAGACAAGGCCAGTGCCAGATACAGCCGGTACAGCGGGCTCTCGTCTTTCTTCTAAAATGTTGGGTGAATTCATTTTTAGCCAAAAGCTGGGATGTCAAGGGCATCGCACATACGCACTAATGGAAAGTGGGTTCACTTTGCCTTTACGAGGCTCTTGGCGGAGGCCTGTCATCTGCGAGAAACTCACTTACTTTACAAGGCTGAATGTATGATGGGGAACCTCCACATTACCTTCATTTGCAAGAAAACTGATTGGTAAAACGGCCTGTGAAAGAAGTAGCCGCAGACAGGGCCAGCCACTCTCCGATTTTGTACTATTCAATCCGCTTCAGGGCGATTGTCAGCTATTTAGCGCACCCTCTCTAACTATACATAGACCAGGTCCGAGTGGTGGCGTAGATTTTGCGTTCCATACAAACCATATTCAAATACGTTTCGTATGAGGTGCACCAAGTGGAGGAAGTACCTGGGCATAACTTGCCTTTTTAATTGCTTGCCCAGCTGCCTTCCTAGCAAGGTATGAGTAAGAGAAACCAATCAAATTAACAATATTGGCCTCTTCCGGGGAAAGCCAGCTGATCCGCTCAAAGAGGATACCCCAATCCACAGAGGGAGCTATCTGCTGTCTTTGAAGATCGTTGTTGCGGGGAACGACGAGGTAGAGGAGATGGAGAGGCCCAGCGGTGTTGAGAGAACGCGCGGCGCGACGTAGATCCTCGATTATGTCTGCAATGTGGTCCGAATCAAGTCCCCCTTGGATGGCTGCTCGACCCAACTGACCGGTCTAAAACAGAAAAGTAGTAATTACTGCAGTGAATTATCCGGTACATCGCTTCGTTCCCAGTGCAATTTCAGCACGACAACTCTCAACTGAGTGAAACATTTCCTTGCAAGAGGGTTCTTGTCTTTAAATCTGTTAAATTCGATTGCTTAGATTTACTCGAGACTAACTTCGCACAGTCATTGTTAATGACCCAAGTACGCGAGATAAATCTAAAAAACCGGATTCTTACCTTTAACTCGACTTTCTCCGGCGGTGTGGACTCGTCGAGAGGCTTGAGGCCTGCACGTGGGTTTGGGATCCTCGGTGACTTGGTCAGGGGCAAGGCTTCGTGGTCTGAGTGAAGGGAAAGGCTCACCAAGCGATCGTTGATGAGGCGCTGCAGTTGCGTTCGCACCTCGCTGGCAACCCGCTGCATGCCTGCTTCCTGACTGTTGAGTCGATTGGCCTGCTGGACAGCAAAAAATGTCCGCCCGGCGCAGCATATCAGGTCCTCGAGGCTTTTCGCCAACTGACCAATATAAAGCAACACCATAAACACGTTAGACATAGACTAGGTTCCATTCCTTTACAAAAGCGGAAATTCAAAAAACCTGATTCACCGTGAGAGGCACTTAGCTCGGTAATCTCTGAAACGACTAATGACGCCGGTTTTACCGGGAAAACGAGTCAAGTTGTCGAAAATACCAACCACGTGAAATCACAAGACTACCTATTCATCTGATTCAGGTTCGTACCATCATTGTAGCTACAAAAACACTCAAATGGTCATTAAGTATACGCAAAACGCCAAGCTGTTGTCACGATTCTGTTTAAGGTGGTTGGGGCAATGAATAAGGTTTTTCCAACAGTTACCAGTAAATGCCTTTAGGAATTAATTTAAGGTGACATAACTCACGCCTAGGCCTAAGAGAGACAGTATAAACTGCCTAAGACCCTTGCCATCGTCGTAAAGAAGACTACTGCAGCAGGTGGCTCCACCAACCTCGACTGGTTCACCAGCGTCCCCGGGTGAGGTGGCCGAAGCAGCGTTGACGAGCAGCGCAAAGGCTTCTCGTTCGTTAGGCTGAAGTATGATGATGCTCTCGCCATAGCTGTCCAGACCGGCACGACCCGCCCGACCGACCATTTGTTTGTACTGACTCCAACTAAGGAAGGTGGAACCCACATACGGCTTACGGATTATGACCCTGCAACAAAATGCACCGGTTTTGTCATTAGTCATCTGAGATGTTTTCGGCTACCTTCAAAGTGATCGAAGTGTACCTTCTGGCGGGAAGATTGACACCTGCAGCAAGTGTCGAAGTGCAACAAATTACTCTAATTGTGTCTCCCTCCAGAAAAGCCTCCTCAATCGCCCTCCTCTCCTCCTGAGTCAATCCGGAGTGATGGTAGGCGATTCCGCGAGGTATTGTCGCCTCCAAAATAGGACAATAACTTTCCACCACCTCTGCGTTGGGGTCTCGTTGGGCATCTAGACGGAGGTTGGCTAACAGGTGTTGTCTTCGGGTGCAAGTCTGCTCAGAGGTGGCGCAGTCAATTTGTGGCGGAAGGAGCTCAGCCAGAAGACGAGCAGTGTTCTCACAATGCACTTTTGTGGGACAAAACACCAGACAAGATGGGGGGCGGTCCGTCTTCATTTGATGTTCGGTCGGGGGGATGAGGACTTCAGCGACAAGACCCACCAGGTGATCGGGATCTCGTTTTTTTACGGCCTCTGAGTACTAAATTGATGTAATAATATTTTTTCTTCAAAAAGCTGAGGTAAAGCCGAAATGTGGCAAAAATCAACAAACCGATATCTCTTCATGAAGTGTCAGGGGATTAGGATAAGACTATCAGTTAGAATAACTTTTCTCCCAAACCTGTTGGAAAATAGTTATTTGGACCTTCAATATATATCCAGACCAACTGCTTGCTGCTTTTTACTACGAAATCGAAAAAAAATGTCAAAGCATAAATCAAACTGCGAAAAAAATTTGCTCCAAAGCAAAAAACACCCTAAACTACCTTTCCTTGATAAATAATTTGAGGTGCATAAAGATAATTTTGTTAAATGATGATTACAGCAAAAAATGGTTAATTTGGACAATGGGGAAAACCTTGAATGTGAATTATTCAGTGCAGCTCCAACTAAATTCAGTCCTTAGTAGCATTGAAAATGTGAGCTCCTAACTTCAACTAAGCATGATAAACGAATGGTGTGTTGGTAAAGAAATATAGCCACAATGCATGGACAATATTCTTTGACACTCGTTCTTAACTTACCTTGAAATTAACGACTCGTTCATGCTTGAGGCGCTCAGAAAGACAAAAAGTTTTGGCTTCGGGTGTTCTAGGCGGAACGACTTTAAACACATGATCCTCCACTTTAACGTATTCAACCAAATCAACAGGTCGGAAGTCGTTTGTATACAGTTTCGCATTCAAGAACGACGTTAGTTCGGAAAGGTTGGATAAAGTTGCGCTCATTCCAATTATTCGTGTTTTCGCTTCGTGTAAATAAAATAATTTAAATTAGCGTGTGAATGCACAGGGCAAGTAGATTCAACGTAAGTACATTTACTTACGAGAAACAATCTTCAATTTCGTCAAAGTGAGCTCCAAAGATGCACCTCGAGAACCCCCCTCACCAATCATGTGGAGCTACAAGAACAGCGTCGTAGGGTAATCGCATATGGAAAGTAATGCTAAGTGCATAAAAGTCACCTCGTCAACAATGACCAGTCCAATTTCAGCCAATCTGTTTAGGTCGATGAGGCTATTAACAATGGTCTGGGCCTTCTCAATTGTCGCGATATAGACGGACGATTTGTTAAGACGTTTAGTAGGAGGTAAGCGCCCCTTAGAACTGGCATATTCCTCGACAAGAAAGTCCAATTCTAGTCCCAGAGCATTTAAATTTCGAACCTGTAATAAGAAGAGTAAACTTTCCGTGGTCAATTTTACATGGGTGAATAGTTAAGTTCTGATCACAAAAATTACCTTTTCCTGAACGATGGAGACGAAAGGTAGGATAAATAAAACATTTTTATGCGCCACCAGAACCTCGGCGAGCATCAGAATTTCAGCCACTAGAGTCTTCCCACCGCTGGTTGGAAGACTGTAAATAAGATTTGCTTTTTCAGAGGTGGCTGTCATTGAAAGACATTCAATTTGCCAATCTAAAGTGATTCGTGTTAGACCTGTTGCCGGAACAAGCTGTTATGAAACATACCGTAGAGATTTTTAATGCCGCGATGATTGTATATAAGTTCCATAACACGACGTGGCAAACCGACCATTGAAAGGCAATGTGATGTTTTTAGATTTTCCGACTGACTAGCTATTTTTAGCTGACTTTCAGTAGTTGGAGAACTGTGAAATCTTATGTTGTGTCGACCGGGTGAATCTACAGCTGAGTTCATGTGTAATTGAAGTAATATCCGTTCTTTAAACGATAACAAAGAAAGATTTTCAGAAGAGAGGATGGTTGGACCCTTAGCTTTACGAGTATTGGGACGACGTGGGGGAGAAATAACGGGGGATGAGTGCCGAATTTCAGCGAGGCCAGATAAATCGATATTCCCCAGCCAGGAATCGCCAGATTCATCAAACTTCGGTGACTTCAAGGCCGAGCGTGTCCTCATTTTTTTTTTAAAAATACTAGAAAAATCCAAAACTGGATAGGGTTAGTGCATGATATGAGAACGCCCGCAGACGAGTAGGACAACACGGAAAGCCCAACAAACTCAAAATCCGCAGCTGCGCAGAAGAGCTTTTACTCGACTACTTTAAACGATTATTTAGAACCTTTAAAATGTTGTAATGGTTGCAAAAAAGACCAACGTCAAGCAAAATACATTACACTGAAATTGGATGACAAAAAATTAAATCTAAGAGTATACTAAAGCAACACACATTGCTAAACAGATTTATTTTCTACACTTGTAAAAATGGCAGTCAGCAAATGTAGCATTTTTTAAGAATCTAAAAAAATATATATATAATCGCAATTCTCAAAATACTTGGTTTATGTCTATAAGATGAAAATTAGCTTCTAAGCAAAAATATTATCCACATGTTCGCTTAAAAAACTATCCTTATAACTTTTCAAACATATAACCTGCCATCTCAATTTAAATAACAGAATGTTAATTGTAAATAACTTACATATCAAAATTTTGTTCTCAAGAGGTGAGAAGCTAGTGTTCATTGGCGGTTTGCATGATAGTTTACCTTTCCTATTACCAAACGATCGTTCATTGCACGTTCCATTTAACGAACTTAGTCTTGGACATTTTAAAAAAGATTATATTGATCTATTGTCAGTCGTAAACAAAAAGTAATGCAAGTTAATAGGTGTATATCTTAACAAATGCCGCATAGATTCCTATTTCCATTCCCGGATTTAAATGCTCGTTGGATCAAGAACTAATATACCTACATTCAGTTTGGTCTAGACACAATTTGCTACATCGTTTAACAGTGAGATACTCTTGTTCTTAAGCTTTGATATTATTTAATTTTAGCGAATGTAGTTCCAGGTTTGGCAATAAAATGTTTGAACCATTTTGCATCTTTTACCGCAAAATTGATTAATTTCATAATAAGGAAATGCTTTCAGCCCCATGGTCCTTTAATGACAAATTACAAAAAAATTATATTTTTTTTCAATTCGTGATCTGAAGCAGAAAGCAGTTCTGTTGCTAGATTTAATCTCATCTGTCAAGGAGTTAAACTAATTATAGGTATATAATTCCAAGTCTTTGTTCGCAGGAATAAAATCAAAAGTTAACTTTTTTCCAAAAGTTTGAAAATCCACGTCTGTTAATAATGTAAAATATCCTCACACCAGACTAACCTTTGTTAAGCAATAAGCAATTTTGAATTTGGTTCATAGCAGTTCTATCCCTATTTACGTCCGTATTTCTGGGTCACATTTTGGGACGAATAACGGCATACTCAAAATCAACGAAAAATTTCACACAGGTTTGATTAAACTTTAAACGCCACTTGTGTGTCTGTGACGAATGGCACTTATATCATAATGCTAAATGGTTAATAGTTTTTCCTTACACATTAATAATAATTTCTTGGAGATCATAGATTTTCTCAGACCTATTGGAAAAGAATGAATGGTATTTTTTTGGGGCTAAAAGAATTTGGTCACTATTGAATTTTATTTAACCTGAACGAGTTTTCACTTTTAAACTTTACTGCAAATTAACTTCAAAAAAATACGCTTAAAATTTACTTTTTCGGTTGAAATCTGCTTTAAAACCACACCCTTTTACCATGTAATCATTGTATTGAACACAGACGTCCAACATCTGCTTGTTTCCTAAACAAGCTGTATATCTATTCACAGAAAACTTCTGTTAACTAAATAGATTTTAATGAGTGCATGAAGAACACGATAATCCATTTAATTGACACAGTTGGAAAGCTGTTACCATGGGCATTTACCTTTCTTCTTTTTTGGCAGCCATTTTAGCAATCAGATCAGGTTCCAGAAACGTTCCACATATTTGACGCTACTACCAGTGTAGTTATATGAATCAATATTACTGACATTTAAATATGCTTCATATGTTGCATTTTTAATCGAAGATTAACATAATCTGTGGCTGTATCCAGCAAGATTCGATATCGCAATATTCGGAACGAAAATAGTCATTGAAATATTTTAGAAAGAAATTTGGTCCTAAAGGAAGGTGATATAATTTAGATGACTTGCTGCTTTCAAATAGCTCCGACTACCCAGTTTATTAAAATAAACTGAACACTACCCTTCTGGAAACAAAACTAGCTCCTCATTTTCTCGCTCACCTATTTTCGTACACTGTCTTGTGTGCACACCAAAAGTAAAGATAAGTACGAAAATCTGGCTGCTACTCTGGATAGCTAGGCATTGTAATCATGCGACGCCAATTTGAATTGTCTGTTGAAAAAAATTCTTTCACGACACGGCTTGAAAAAAGTCATATCAAGTGGCAGTAGGTTACCTGAAAATGTCTGTTAGTTATCTACTAGATTAATTTGGTTCTGCTTATCTGGGTTATTTAAACTGCTAATAAACGATCCAATGTCTGTTATCTGGGGTCGATATTCAATTGACTGAAATTATTTAAGTTTGGTTGTGGCTTTTAAATGTTATAACAAATAAATTGATCAAAATATCGCGACCTTTTTTTTGCAAACAACCAAAAATGCGATTGCTACATTTTGCTTCTGTCAAGGTAATTATCTATCGAAAAACATGTTTATAATTTGAAATTATCCTTTTGCAACATGAAACACTAGAGTAAAAGACAATTGTAACGTGCCTACCGAGCGGAGACCTAGATAGGGAGATGACCGTTAGCCCGTCCCTCTTAGATAGCCACACCATCATGGTTAGCTACCAGGCACACGATAGAAGAATAGCTGGAAGAACCGGATGTATTTCATACTACCGCATACAAACTCAGAGGGCAAGAGCTTTGGGAGAGTTGGAGTAGGGAAAGGGATGGCCGCGAGGAGGGTTGGCGTTGCCCTCGGACTCACGGGCGTGCCTTGAGGAAGGCGAGAGTGCGGGAAGGGAGAGGAGGACAAAGAACAGGCCAGACCAGCGTGCGTGGGTCGAATGGCGCGCGTCGCACAATGTGGAAACAAAAATTGCTTAAATATTTTAATTAATTCAAACGCGAAATGCTTAAATCAATTTTTCGTGACTTCAAAATACAAATTACGCATGATTAATTTTTGATTTTATTAAATAATATAAGAAGGCTAATGTAAAAACTTTGTTTTGCTATCTAAATATGATAGGTGATCTTTGCAGAAGAAAGAATCAACACTCTCGAAAAAGGATCAAAGAATATTTGGTCCTCAAATTTGAAGGACATTATGTTACCTAGAACGTATTAATTGTTTAAAATAAAACTAGCAGCTTTTGAATTTATTTTTTAAGGCAACTTTTGCCTATGGCGACTTTGACTTCAGCAAATTGTTTCAATTTTTCTGGTGATCAATAGCAATCAAGTCAACCAATCGTCTAGCTGCCGCTTTTCCGTTGGGCTTTGTTGGCCCTTGTGTGCAATCATTAGATGCAACCCAAAATGTTAACCTGGGTCTTGTCTTTTATGTTTATTTTTTTCGTAACGCTGACATTTACACAAGGAAAGTTGCCATTTGACGAAAAAAATGACACAGAGCCATGGACTAATCAAACAGAGCAATCAGAAGGTAAGTATGCTGACCTGTTGTATATTTGATTATATTCTGTACTTTTCTATCCAAAATTGCCCTTCTAACAAATTTGGTCACTAGTCTGTGTGCCTAATAAAACTGTTTTTCAGTGTATGCACCTCATGTCTCGTCCATCCAATCTTAATCACTCAAAAACAAATACCTATTTGATATATTTTTTTTATTGAGATAACGTTAATCGCCCTAAAATCCCCAAGTTTAAAGTCTACCACTTTATTTACACTTATTTTGCATCGACCTTCTGAGGTTTATTTAATAATTCAGTTGTGTAGTCTTTATTTTGATTTTTCTTCTTTTTTATTGTTATTATTTAACGTAGTATATAAAACCGTAGACCTTTGCTATTGATAGAACCCCGAATTTTTTAATGATTACCTTTGATTACTGTATTGAGAAATGGAATATCTTCCTTGAGATAAGGCATGGTTAATTTATTCCACCAAGGATCACATAAGCAGATGTCCTCGCCGTGGCGGAAAGATTTTGACAGCCTTGATCAAAGTGATAGAGTCCTAACTCGATGTCGTTTACGTTCCGTGAACTATTGGAACTATACCAGCGGTCATGCCTCTCTCGTGCTGGGACACCAATTTGACTCTGCCGTTGGTGCTCTCTATTCCCCGCCAATTTCGCACGACCTCCTTGGTCTGTACGTCAATCGTCACCCCTTCAAATTATCTTCCGCCTTAAATCCATTCTTCCCTAGTCTGCGTGCTGGTTACGCCACGTCCAGACGGAAGACACCCACTAAGGTGACCGAAAGTCTATGCACACTGGTCTTTATCTTTGCACAGTGGTGCCCTTTCTCAATGCGTGCGGCACCCTACATAAACGCCCTTGCTCGTGCATTTCCACAGCTTCCCATTGTGGCGATTGAATCTAATGAGTACCTCCAATATAGGTGGAGTCTACGTGTGTTTTACATTCCGAAAATCAAAATTTTTATCGGTGGCCATGTATACCGAGAGTTTAATGGAACTGACTATGACCTGGATGAGTTAGCGGATTTCCTTTGGCTCAGTTTACGTAAGTAAATGCTTTCCCCCATTCTCGCTCCCAAATCAAGCAGTAGACCTTTGTAAAGTGATATTTTTTTACTAATCAGCTGTTCCACGTTTTGGTTTTGAAGTGAGAACGTGTATTGAAGCATTATATTTAAGAGGTGAAGGTGTAACCTGTGGAAATAATATTGATATGTGAAGAAATTTTGAATACGTCTGTGTGCGTGACATCAACACTTACAAATAAATTATTTATGCTATAGGGCAGGTGTGCTTGTAGGAAAAGGCACACTAGCAATGTTTTAAATTATGTTAGAAATAAACAAGTTTTGGACTCTGGTTAAAGTAACCTATAATTTTGAAATCACGTAAATAAAAAGCGGTTACTTTCCAAGTTTTTCATTCGATCTGAGGACTTAATTTGTGAAAGCCTGCTTTTTTAACTTAATCAAGAGTTCGAGAATCCTCGTCACTCGTAAAAAACACTGGTTCTTATCTATCGCATCATTCTATCCTACTCACATAGAATTCATTAACTGCGGACAAGCACCGTAAATAATCTTGGTTGTTAATAAACCGATTGGGGCCGTTTGGCACATCCTGGATTCACCAAATATATCGCTGGACTCCACGTTTTTATAGAAAGGTCCATGGCGAGTGCTTTCAAATCTTGATTGCACTTTTAACTTGCTTAAAGGGCGCTTGGTGAAAACCATGCCTCAATCTTTCATTATGCCGTTGGTTCTGGTCAGTTTTGGTGATGTAACGTAAGTGGTATACGCAATCAGTCTCCAGTTGTTTAATCAGTTCGCGCACTTTTTTCTGTGGTACTGTATCCATTCGCCACTTGTTCACGTTGCTTCCGGCCGCCCACTATAAAGTTCTCCTTATTTTTACACTAGGTCTGCTTCCAATTGGTCCACTCGAATTAAGACGTGAAGACTTCGTCGGTCCTATTCCTACACAGCTAATGATTCGTGAGAACGATCTTCGACTTCCTGCTGCTTGGGTCATTTTTCTCGTTTGCTTCGCTTACTTGACCACGTATTTCGTCAATTACAAACGAATTTGGTGCCATGCAGTAACTGCAGTAAAGTCAGTTCATCACTCCTTGAATAACCGCCGTCTAAACCGTCTTCATCGTCGACATGTAGCTGCTCATGCGGCATTGCCTCTGCCTGCTTCTTCGACCCATTGCCATGCAGATTAGACACAGTGATAGCTTGTCCTCTGTACAGTTTCGCCTGACATCTTATTTTGGTTTCTATTTCTAAGATCAGACCGCAATAATGTTTTTATTTTGACATGTCGTACCTAGAAAAGGTGGTAGTCTGCGTCGCGGTGTTAATGTGAAGTATGTTGGAATGAACCCTGGTGAACGGCATTCGTGCGAATTTAGCGATGTCGCAAATACGGAACTGAGTTGTGTAAATGACGTTGGAGCATGGGCATAGTAGAATACTGTCGTTTATACCCTCATTGAAGTCTGTTGAGAGAATTTGCTCGACCCGCCAGTTGGTCTAGCCTTCTTATTAGTCAATACGAAGCAGCCGAGTTCTGACTGTTCTACATACGATGTAGTAATTGATTGCAGGAAATGTTAGCGAGCAGATGGCGGCCAAATGGAAACCAAACATAGTCCGGGTCCCGTGTTAAACTACTAAGTGAGTTTTATCGTGGACTTAACGCATTAGAGAGATATGGGTCGATGCAAGTTTATTGACAAAGTGTCAGCCTTTGACGGCCTATCATGCAAAGTCAGGATACCAAGGATGAATGTGCAGGTTACACGGGAGTCAGAACATAATGTTTGAGATATTTGAGGATTGAGATATTGAAGCGAAAAAAGTTATGTAAGTGAGAGGGATGCGTAGTTATACTGAATTTTAGGGGGGGAAAGTCTGTGGTGTATGTGAGTTAAGTGCACGATGACTCACATAGTGCCTTAGAACCGACCTAGTAACTTCATAACCTAATGCAAAAACAAGAGAATGTGAATGATAGAGCACTAAATAAGGATGGTCATAAGGGGACGTTGGGCAAGCCTGCCTGGAATGCGTTGACGAAATGTCGAGCGGCACGGTAGGTTCGAACAATTTAATTTTGCAGCTTTATCGCAAAGAATTTAGTTCATCCTATTAAAAACACGTTTTTAAAACTATAAGAAGAAAATAAATGCATCGAAATTTTTTGTTCACTTTCACTTTATTTTAATTGACATGGTAAGTCTCCGCCATAATTAAAATTGGTCATGTCCGAGTTTATGTTTGATGGTGTCCATGAGGGAGATAACGATGAGTTTGTTGATGAAGCGTCAAAAGATGAATCTCTGACTTCTGAAGCACTCGATATGGTTAGTTTCTTGGATATCATTTACACAAATTCAGGAGCTTGAAATGATAAAAGAACGATTTAAGGAAATTGAGGAGGATGCAAATAAGTTACACCATTTGAAGAATTCCGAAAAGCCATCCAACAGTAATTATGTCCTAAGCTACCAAGCACTTTATAGAATCCAATACTTCTGTTTTGTCTGATGAAGAAAAGGCTGAAGTGGACTTGCGGTCCATCTACGTTGGCAATGTATGTTGTTAAAATCGTAATTGAATCGCTTAGGTTGATTACGGATCCACTGCGGATGAACTTGAGGCGCACTTTCGTTGTTGTGGAGCGATCAATCGTGTCACTATACTTTGCGACCGTTACACAGGTCATCCTAAAGGATTTGCATATATCGAGTTCGAAAATGCTGATGCCATTGAGGCTGCTGTTGCTTTGGATGACTCCAACTTCAGAGGCCGCCCTTTAAAAGTGATGCCCAAGAGAACGAATATCCCGGGTTTGTCAGTAATAAGTCGGGGATTCAGGCGATCTCGTCGTCGTTTAAATCCTTATGGTATTCGCCATGCGTTCGGTTTCGCACGACCAAGAACATCAAGGTTCAGGTGTGTTTGTATCCAGTTATTAGCAGATACTGTAGCTTTTTGTCTATTTTATTTTTTTTCTATTTTTATTTTTTAAATGTTGTAGGCGACGTCGTATTTATTACGGTGCACCATATTGACTGGGCGAAAAAAAGAAAGAAAAAAGACGTAACGCCCAGCAAAAACCTTGCGTTTTTCGTGTTTCTAATTGTATATCTCTTCCAATCATTTTAGCCCTGGCTTCTCCCTGCGTGGCAGTATTCCTGTCAACCAGCTCAACCCTCTTTTCCGCGTTACCCCATACACTAGGACTTTTGTATTGTCATGCAACCTGTCAAAGATCTTATTTACATGTCAGCGTGCATTTGCTATGATCGCTAGTCAGGGCGTTCTGTATAAAACATACAAACTTTTCAATGTAAAACCTCTTTTTAAAAACAACGTGGTAATTATTTTGTTGATGGCTGACCACATTTGGCTGAATTTATTCTGTGTAGTGTTGTTTGGGCCTAAGATGATCATCGTTGGGTATTGCCTGTTGCCTTAATTGCGTATACCTCTATTGAACTATGGGTTTGGATCGAATATTGCTGTCGCATCCGCAAGTAGATGGCTAAGGGCTGCTATAGTGTCATCAGTCCTGGTTCTAGTTTATGATAGATAACGTGCAATGGTGCAGAGCGTGTCAGCGTATACTTAGACTTTCTTTTTAATGGATAGCAATCTGAAAACATAAATTGCTGTCTTCAATTACAGGAAACCTCGCCCGGCAGTGTGTGTATGGGCACTTAATGATTTTGCATACGTCTATTTCCCTTACGTCAATTCACGTGAGTAGTTCGGCCTAGAGGCTACGGTCTAAGTGGCGCTGGGCTTTAGCTTGACACGCGGAGTCACACTGTCCTGGGCCTCATGTCGATGTAATTCGATCAGACCTCAAACTAGAATTACGGCGACCTAAGTACATAACAATCTAGTGCGTCGGTTCAAATTTGTGAGCTTAACCGCCCGGATATGCACTAGGTTTGGCACAAATAATTGACGCATGGGTTATGATTATCTGCCGGCCTTTGTCTACGGCCTCCGAAGGCTGCGTACGCCATAACTCCCCAAACCAATTACCGTTTGCAAAAGCACCTACGGGTTTGCCACTAGGCCGCAGGTTTCGATCCAACTCACCAAAAAATAACAAAGAGCAATCATTGCCTAGCTATATTCTCTAATTTGGCCAAACTAGAAAGTTGTTGCTCAGGAATTTGTGTGCAACAACTTGTTAAAATAGTCTTTTGTAATAACTGAGGACGTAATCTTGATTTGTGCTGATGTACAGAAAATTTTTGGTAGATGTGCGGCTCATGAGTTTCAGACAGGTGGAAAGTGGGGAGGACTTGAATGGGTTTGTGCGTCACCAGCCTCTACGACGTCGGCTGTGGCGACGGCCTTTTGTCTGCGGGCCTTTTGTCTACGATGCCTGGCGAGGCGGCGCCGGTACTGTCTGATTATCGAAGGGAACATGACAAGACCAGCGAGAACCACTCCAGCTCCACAAACCGTGAAAGCCACGATGTACGACTGCGTTGAGTCGATGATGAATCCTGTTGGAGAGAAGAAGACACACCACTTACCCAACAAGTTAAGTAGAGCTTATTTCAGTGCATAAAGTTATGCAGACAACCTCTTTTAACGGTTAATTATCTTACCTTTGATTAAGAAAACAGAAACGTGGAACGTCAAAAGTGTGGTTTAATTATTAATCAAGTTACGAAAATATGGAGGGTGGTATTAATGATTCCTACGTATATACATTAATTATGCTAGACGAAGGAGTTAGTAGTCGCGTATTTGCATATCCAACATGAAGATAGCATCGCTAACAGATAAGATGCAGTCTTGCAATAATCCGCAATATTTAGCAAATAAAAGTGCGCAATTTATGATGTGGATTACAGCGGCTACTTCTTTTCTGCTGCAGCCGATAAAGATTAAATTCGTATTCCGCAATACTTTATTGCGACTTCAACCGAGGCCTTGGCGATGTGGAGCGCCTAGCCGGTTTCCCTACCTGCATCGAAGTAACACTAAATCGGTGTGGGGAGAATTGATAAGCAGACATGCACGTGGAATAAGAGGCTGAAGCAACGACAAGTGGATTTTCTCTGTGGCACCCTATAGTTTGCCCTTTCGAACAAGCGTTTGGCAAAACCGACATTTTTGATTTAGCCCAGCTAATGGGAGTCACCCGCAAAAAGTAAAAATTCGACGTAACCTTAGAAATGACGCCAAACTTGACATTCTCCCGACGGGCATGCGTTTCCCCCCAGTAGCTAAGGCACAAGCTCCAACTTGAAAATTTGTGGGTGCTTATAGGTTCTTTGGACACATTTCTTGTTATAACCACAGAGAAATTTATTAAAGATTCTGGAAGTCAAAAATCGTACTGATGTCAATTACCTCTAACGTGCTACAATGATTTAAAAGACTAGGTATCACCTTTCGGTGATAACATGATTCAGTTTTACCACTTCAGTCCTCTCATTGCGAAAACATCAAAAGACGTTCTTTTTGAAGCGCGCGATTACAGAGAAATAACCCAGTTGATTGTTTTAAGCAAGGGTGCACGAATGAGTTCGTAACCAAGGTGAGCAATGCGTGAGTAGCAAAAATCGATAAACCAATTGTTTGTGGCTAATTGTGCTACACCATATTTGGCGCGCAAGTGGATCACTTGTGCGTTGTACGAAATCGACCTGGCAAGAGAGCAAAATCGGTCTTGTGTCATGATCGTCGAATTAAACTAAAGATAACAACGTGGGTGTATACAAAAGGAGGTAAACTGGCCACTGTTTTTGAAGACAGCATGAATTTGTAGGGGTGTTAGAAGTACATTTCTAGTCCAATTGTTTCGATTTAAGCTGTGTTTACGTGAGGTTACAAATCTGTACATGTATTTGAGTAATTAAGCGTTGTTCTATGTGTGTGCAATTAAAATATTGTTCCAAACATCCGAACAATCGGTTTTGAAGGAACCTGATTTGTAAATGTTGGTTACCAAACCCAAACCAGCGCTTCCAAATTAGAGTACCGGCATCTATTGGACTGAGGAACATGTAAAGCCAAATCTACGTGAAATCTACTAGGTCTAGGCAATTGAAGCGTCGACTTGCAGTTTTCGCCATATGATGACACCTGACTTTGGTGTGACATTTTTTTAATGGCACTGACGGAAAATTAAGAAATCAGCATTCGGTTGAAATGAAGGTCGAAAGAAGAAATACCAATGACAGCTTCTGTCAAAAAAGTGGGGTTTTCGAGCATGGAAAAGAAGGGACACAGGGACTTAGACAAGGGCTTAAAGATTTCCCTCACCTGAGTTGCCATTTAAAAGAATTTCTTACATTCCGAAAAAACTGGCTATAGACATTGTTGAAACAACGTGTTGAAGGTGAGTTAGTGGTCTAAAGTGCAGCGTTTAAATTCCGTTCAATGCTTTTGCAGAGCTATAGTCCGTACTCTGTCGGTCTTCACAACTGGAACCACTTGAACCAAGAGGTGATCTACCTTAGTAGTGGCAGCGTCGCAAAGACTGCACGAAATTTCAATCAGTTAAATAAACTTTGAAATACGGCTCAGAATAATGTGCAATTGTCTTCGACAGAGAGTTCACCAGGGCCACGAACCGGCACGTAAGCAAACGTCAATAGTTGCTGCAGTTGGGTTGTGAGGAGTGATCATCTTGCTCTGGGCCCCAGCACGTAGGCTCAAACCACACCGGGGCCACTGCGTTGAATTTAATCCCGTCACACCACCCTGATACCCGCGAGGATGAAAACACGGCTGCGGAACAACCAAGTTGCTAGCACCGTCGTGTGTCACGCCCGAACGTGTGTATTCATAGCTGAGAAGTGTGAAACAGCGTGGGTCACAGGTGTACTGACATCGAGACTTGATTCACGTGAGTTGAGACTTCCCCGTGGCTGATGGGCGAATTGTGTCAGAGAAGGAAGCGACCGGATTACTAAGCGTGAATCAACGTGATCCACAACAACCTTGAGGGCTATTTATGCATGATTTCAAGACAAGGATGGCGATTACACACTCACATAGAAGGAAATAGGACAATCCAGGTACATTATGGTTCCTCTTTTGACTACAAACTCGGCGAATGTGTTGACAAGAGAACGAATTGCGCATTATTGCAAGCCTGAACAAGTGTTTAGTGCTTCTTCCTTGTTTGTAGCACGATGGGAAGGCGAGAGCACCATTTACACTTACGACGGGTCTTGTTTATCGTGTTTTAACCACGCCTGTATGAAAAAAGAACGAAATATTCGCCCAGCTCAGATGAATCACCGTAAAACTGGTAAAAAGAGGGGTCTGTGGACGTCGTAAAACAGAGTGTGTACGGTTTTAACATTACCTAGCCCATAGAAAGAACGTGACACATCTTGTACCAGGACTCTGAACAAGGTGTGTGTTTTGTGAATTGAGTTGATTTACACTTTTTAATCCGGTCGCTCCATTCTCCCACACACTGCCCTCTTTTCACAGCATGCCGTCAACCACATGGAGCTTCAACTCACTCCATTTTGGGGAACGAGCATCCGGAGTTATCACCACACATAATAACACTCAGTTAAGTCATGATGTCAGCACACTTAGGACTCACGAATTGGTCGAGCTCTTGAATAAACAGTTGTCTATCTCTATCCCTTTACCGTCTCAATCCCTGTTGGGTAGTTAGTGCTATTTCGTGCTGCAACACGTTGGTGGATCGAGAGTGCTATCATCAAGGTTTCCAACATTACAGCAATCCATGGTTTAGCTGGAACAGTTTTTTATTGAAAATCGTCCGATTCGATGCTCGCGAACCGGGACAAATAGACGTCGCATGCGCGAGTTCGTCAAAGTCGCTCCCACTAAACATACAGATTCGGATATGTAAACACTTGGCTTTGGTGCTACATGCGTAAACATACCAAATCGCCTGGCGAGGTGTACATCCCTTGTGCTGTTTTAAAGCGGTGTTGTGAAAGCATCGAGGCGTCTACCTTGACCAAACGCCAAGGACTTCAACGACTGGTGACGCTGTCCTTGAAAGCGTTTAATCTTCTATGGGGTGGTAATCGACGATCTCCCCAGATAAATTAGGTGACACGGTTTCGTCTGTCCACCACGTACCAATAGAAAATTCAAACCTTAACCTCCCTTGCACTTGTTTATATCATCTGAAGGACTCGAAATTTTCGAGTGGATAAACTCAGCCCAGGCTTCTGCCTGGCTCAACTTCATACCTCAACACCTGGTAGTGTCGACGCGGTCACCGGGCTACACAATGCCATGGGAACCAAGTAATCAGCTACTGCTGCGCTTTAGAATGTTAGGGAAGTGTTTTCTTCCGAAAATGCGTGAGCTGACAACACTGTCATGCCAACCAAACCACCTGCAATTGAATCGGTGATTTTGGATGGTACATGTAGCGAATCGTGTTGATTCACATCCAATAACCCGGTCGTCGCAGCCTCACACTCCTTTTCACGGCATGTCCGACAGTCACACGGGATTGCCTGCTCATTCACTCCTCTGCATGCACTACCACCACCCGCTTTATTCGCGTGACCATTTAGACTTTTGAATTTTTACTAGTCCACTTAGCCATATCGGCAAACGCAGCACAACTGTCTAGTAAACTGTTGTGCTTCGTCCTCTCTGGTCTTCTATATCTCCGCAGGCACCCAGATCAGGGTAATCGGCCTTTAGACATTTGGAGCAGTGGCCTCGGTGTGGTTCAAGACATCATGCCGGGGCCCTCAACAACTCCATGTGAAATGAACTTCGCTAAATGTGACGAAATTGGGCATACACGACTGTCCAAGAAACTGTCGCAGGAGGAGCAGAAGGTACGACCTTTAAGGTGCATGGAAATGACTTTGGGATCAATTAAAGAGACAAGAATGAAAATAGTGACCTTATTAAATCACGACGGATTCCAACGTGAGGAGAAGCTCATGAGATTTACTTCTAGGATTAAGCGAGTGGAAAACGTGTAGTAGACCATGTTAAACAAATTCCATCACTTCTTTCTACACTCATTGGCTCTCCACTATTTTAAGCGTTCTGTTTTGGTTATGTGGACAGATCTGAAATTGCATCCGTGTGTCCGTCTGTGACTTAAAAGTATATAGTCTCGTGTGCCCAAAAGACAACAATGCAACCGAGTCGAGACAAGTGGTGAGCAGTCGCGGCTCTATCGCCTCAGCACTTCTTAATATTTGCCGCGAAAAAAACGTAAAGCCCGTGTCCATTAACCCTTTCAGGAAGTTGCCGGCGTGCTGCCGTGTATTTAAAACCCATGCTCGAAAAAAATTGAAGAAATGAGTGCCAATCAACTTCGACTGCCCGTCTACGCTTTGAAATCAGATAACATCCGCGTGAACACATGGATATTTTGTCGTGAAACAGGTCACCAAGGCCAGGTGCTAATTAATTCCCCTGATTTTTTTTATCTTGAGCTGCGAAAAGCAGGAGGATAAACTAGTCACTTATCTTAAATATCTGATGCTAGCAAAATTACTAAGCTTTGTTACCTTCATATGCGGGCTTGAATTACATCACATTCGATGTGAACTATGAAATGCGAGGTATGGTATTACACTCGACAGCCTGAGTCCAAAATCTAACGGGGTTTGAGTTGAAGAAGTGACAATTTGTGGCCATGGGGGGTTACACTGTAGGGCACAGTGACTGACACAAATAAAGGTAAACACCACAAACGGAGAAGGCGACGTGCGCATCAACGCTAGCCAGTGTGATGTGCACAAACAGCCAACTCACCGATGACAGGAGGTCCGAAAATGGAAGAGGCTCCCTGACAAAAAAGGCAGAATCCGAGTCCACTGACCAGTCGACTCAAACCAAGGAACTCGATAACGATGATTGTGCAGAGGGAGTCGTTGGCAGCCATGGTGAAGCCGAAGATCACTGAAAGCAAACACGATCACACGTTTGACTGATACAGTTCAGGTGAATTTTTACGCTTGCACCGTTGAACCGAATCGAGGTTTGACCACGGGACTAGCGCCTGTCGAGGTGTACAATGATCCCATTAACCAACACTCCCCAATACGAAGGTACGACCTCTAAACTCCCATAGGCTAGTACTTGATGGCTCAGTTTAATTTAAAGCCAACACAATCCGTGTCTAGGACATGGATCGTACGGTGCGAATTCGGACGTAGACACCGAAAGCACAAACACAACTCAAAGTTTTGTCATAGCGGGGAAGACAACTTGTCGAAAAATAGGGCAAAACAGTATCCTTTAAACTTGCCATGAAAAGGGAACAGAAATTACGCCAGATTAAACAACACTGGCAGCCAGGATTTAATTACTGCAATCAATATTTTGCCACCTTATGTAAACGAGAAATCTTACTCGCTGAAAGGTTAAACACCATTAAAATCGGAATGTTAAGCTGCAATTTTCGCACTGCGTTCTACGAGGGAACAGCACAAGGCCAAACTGATTACATGACCTTAGTTCGCGCGGGCAAACCATTCGCAAAACTTGAAGGGTTACAAACCGGCCACGTCAAGGTGTTGGCTAATGCAAACCACGGGTGAAATCACCGTGGCAACAATTGTCTCGAGTACGTGGAAGAGCCAAAAGGTATAAGTTCTCCCCCAGTCGACAATCGACTTGCCAACGTAAACTACGACTAACGGAGTCTTTAAATTATTCTTTGATCTAATGAAGGTAGGGAAAAGAGCTAAAAATTGGAAAACACTAGTTTTTTCTAAACTTTTGGGGTGTAATTTTAAACAAAAACACAGAATCAGGGTCGCGCCCGTCACTAGTGGCGGTGAGAAAAGTACACATAGGCTTTATGGCATGTTTTGTGGATGGGAAGCCCCAGAGAAAAGCAGGTGTGACCAAAACAAGTTCTGCATTCTGCTCAAAAGGCCGCATCCTGCTGGCCTGCTTTGGGTGAAACATTGGCAAATAACATAAGACGACGATGATTTCCTTGCTGTAAATTCGACGAATTTAAAAGGTGTGAAGGGGAGAGAATGGGGAAGGAGGGAGTTCGGACAAAGCCACCTGTGGTCGTGCCAAATTCCTAAGATTTTTAAATATTTTATAATGCAATGGAATTAATGCGATACGGTGGATTTTGGGAGTTCGCAAAACACCAACATCGAAGGAGGTTCAAGAGCACAGCATCATGTTTTAATAGGCGTCTCGAGTAACCAGTTACAACTTATTACGGATTTCAAACATTCGCACGTCAAATTCTGCATCAAAAGTAGCAGGAATAAGAACTCCTTACAAGCCTCCACAAAATCAGCCCTACAGTGTCACTCTAAAGTCATGATTATCACATCAAGCAATTGAACAACACTTGATCGGACGCCCAAGATAAACAAGGGCAGTGGTTGGGTTACATGCAAGACCACAAAGATCGAGTCGAACAACAACGGAACAAAATTTAAACAAAAGCATAGCATCAAATAGTACAAGAATTTGTGTGTAGTTACAACTCTGAATTTCAGTTTCGATAGGTTTGAGAGGAACATAAGGTCTGAATAAACAATTAATCGAATGGTCACTAGATAATTTTGGGAGCCATGGCCAAAAGAACTTTGAACGAAGAGCTTCGATTCAGGAAAAGAGTAAACTGAATCTTGAGTGTTCCAAACTAACACTTGCTGACACCATCGATTTACTCTACGTTAGCCGCCTTTGAGTAACCGGTAGTGCCACACTCTTGAGAGTTGGGTTTGCATTCACCAAAGAGTGTGTCGTAGCTGATTCCCACAGTAACAAATTCGAAAATTAAAACTTAAAATCAAAACCCCTATTTTTACCCCTGAGGTACTGACATAAAACTAAAGAAGGAATATACAAGGAGTGGACTTACAGTTATAGAACACCAAAGCCCCAAAAGAATTTGCCAATGGCACCATCATTGTGGAGATTCCACAAATTACCACGCCAGAGGTATAGAGGTAGAGAATATTCGACCAGGGTTGGTCAGCTGCCCATCCATAAGCTACCTCACCAACCATGTCAGATCCACCCATAATTGCCAAGAGCATCGCAGAAAGATAGTTCGATATTCCTAGCTGGGTGTTTGCATAAATTGTGATAAAGAAGTACGTCACATTGCACCAAAAGAAGAGAAAAAGCGTTGAAAGAAGGAACATGTTGAAAGAAAGACTCCAGAACATTGAAGGATCAACAGTGGTCCGTAATTGTCGACGTACCTGTTTGCAAAAACGACGCGCATGCTCTGAAAGACAGTTGCTAGATGTTGAAGTGGATGAAGATGTAAGGGAGAGGGCTGAACTCTGCAAATTGGGCATACTAAGAACTGAGCGACTTTGATGTTCGGATGAGGACTGGAAGGCTGCTGATCGATGGTATATTGACCGTTTTGTCCGGCCGTATACGGGAGGAAGTAAAACTAATGCATTCCGTAAACTTGTAGCAGTTGAAGACAGCAATGGTTGCAGCCTTTGTTGTGGAAAATTTTTATTTGTCTCATGTGCATTCAAGTCACCAGTACAAGGAGATGTGGGCTTCACTGATAGAATCTGGTTAATCTCAAGGGCATTTACCAGAGGCTTAGAGCTACTTGAAGGCTCCAGAGAATGCATTAAATGAGCTGAGTCTTCATTTTTATTATCTGTAAGGCTAGAACAATGGGCGTCTTGTGAGTTCACAGCATCTTCCATAAGAGCATCAGATGTAATAAATGGGGGATCCACTATCGATTCCGACGACGAATCAGATGAAGAAATGCGTTGGGGACTGGTCAAAAGCTTTCGCAGAAGATGTATACGTCGATCGATATGTTCATCTTTGCTTTGGAGATAGACTTTTGGTAGTTTGAATCCTGATTCCTTAGCAAAATTCTCCATACGCAGAAGCAGCTGACGCTTTCGACGTTGTCCTCCTGTCTCGATTGGGCGCATCAAACAACCACAAACAATGATGTTAGTAAAAATTCCCGAAAGAATCAGCATAGCCCCACGCCAAGTATAGGTATTAATCAAAAAATTGACCAGTGGGGCAAAAACAAAAGACCCTACTCCAGATCCAGCAATAGAAAGACCGGTGGCAGTGGCGCGCCGATCATCAAAGTAGAGGGAGACGATAATCAATGCGGCGGTTGATGAAAGACTTGCTCCGAGTCCAACGAGGACTCCAAAAGTTAAAACTAGTCCAAGCATAGACTGTACGAAAAATGCAAGGGCACATCCTATTGAGCTCACCAGTCCCCCAACTACACAAACTTTACGACACTGAAACTTGTTAATCAGCATCGATGCGACGGGCGCAGCAAGACAAGGTATCCCATACCCAAAGGCACCTATCCAGGAAGTTACACTGAGTGAAGCACCAAACTCTTCCGAAAGGTCATCCAAAAATATGCCAAAGGAGGTGGCAACACCATCATCTATCATTTGGATGAAAAATGCAGCAATCACAATTATCCAGCCCCAACCACCATCCGGAGGTTCTGGCGGCGATAGCTCATCCTCAGACGTGGAGGAAGCAGAGGACAAACAGGACATATCTTGACTTGTCGTTGCTGTTGTATAAAACGAGTCTTCTGAGGAAGAAGAATCAAGACATGTGCTACTGTTGGAAGAAGAGGAAGAAAAATTTTGTTCGACGATACGTTGATAAGCTTCAAGAACACGACCACGCAAATGAATCATGCTATCAGAAACCGAAACCTTCTTTGTCTTTTCAAGTGGAAACGCAGTTGGATTATCATCAGGTACAAATGTCACATCAGGACCACTTTTTTGCATTGGAATGTTCTTGTTCTGCTTTTTAAAGACCTTAAACTCGCGTCTACTAAAATGCGTTCGCACATAGTTAAGAAAGGAAAATTCAGAAGCCACGTGGTTCATGTCAGATGGCTGATCCACAACTGTTATGTGTTGGTTTTCAACTTCTTGACGAGAATCCGGAGTGTTTGGCCTGTTAGTGTTAGAGTTGCTGACATTTGACGGTTGAGGAAAGGTTGTGCATTCAACTAGCTGCCAAGGTTCCATATTTACTGTTGATCTATACCACAAAGGAAAAAAATTAGGGCAATATAAAATACTTGGTAGACAGTTCAGCGAATTCAAATCCACACCAAACAGGCCAAGCCTTTTATTGGTCCGAATAGAATGAATTCAAGTGTCATATCTCGTTAAAACGTAAAAGAGAAATTACAGAGAAATTACAGACTGCTACATTACTACACAATGACAAAAAATATAAATGTACTAAAAAATCATGCATAAAAAAAAACCAAAAACAAAAAAAAATATATAAAAATCAGAAAAAAAATTTGCGAAAATTATATAATTTAACCAAAGTTAACAACATAAAAAACTAAAAAAATTAGGGGAAAAGACACATCATTTATTACATAGTTAAAAACCAGATAATAAAAAATAATGCCCATTTAAATATTAAGGAGGAAAAATTTAAATAATTCAATAAGAAAAGCAAGCCTAACCACTCAAGGACAAACAACAATTAAACCAGTTTAGGCATCATAAAAAAAAAAATAACAAAATCAAACCAGGCCACCTAGCACCCTAAGCGAGTATCATACCCCTAGACCACCAGGCCACCACTTTTGTCGGCGTTTTTGCGCCACCCCTACTCGCCTT